GAGTTGAGAATTGTAATGCACAAATATGTAAATTTACTCTAAAAATTTCTCTTCAACACAGATACACATTGTAAAATCATCTGATTATCCATGGTTGATATGATTTAATCTTTCTTCATCTTTTTCATTGCTATGTTTGAGGATGTCTGTGGCCTTAAACTATAATAGGCACTTCAAATTTTGTATCTTAAAATGTTCACATATAGAAAATTATAAAAAGTATGAAAAGGGTCATAAAATGTCTGTTCATGTCATGCTGGGGAGGTTACTATAACAGTTATTTCATGATCATTAGTTTTGAAATCAACTTAATCTTTAAAGCAATAAAAGCCCCATAAATATTGTTTCTCCCATTGCAAAAAACCTACCTGCATGTAAATCTTCACTGACTTTTCAATGTGTCAAATTTGATTTCAAATCAATATCACCTGATTTTTTTTCTCCACCAGTTTTATTTAAATTTAAATGCTTGATTTAAGCATCAGTAGTTCTTTGTACCTATAATAAAATGTCTCTAAAGGAGATGTGGGCTGGAAAAAGTTAATATAAACTTTCTAGTCATAGGTGTTTTGTTGTTAAATTTTCACAGAATGTTAATGTTGAACATTTAAGTAGATGCATGGACACCAAGGCGGGGAGGTGGCGGGAGGGTGGTGGTGGGATGAATTGGGAGATTGGGATTGACATGTATACACTGATGTGTATAAAATGGATAACTAATAAGAACTTACTGTATAAAAAATAAATAAATAAAATTTAAAAAAAAAAAGAAAATTTAAGTAGATGCAGATAAACTTAATGCATTCCAAATTCACTTTCTACTTAATGAGATAATACATAAATTAATTTTCTCATAAAAAATTATGAGAAATAATGGGAGAAATTATGTTTTTATTCAGTCAGTAATTAGATTGTAGCTTTTAATGCAATCTACCACTCTTAGTTAGGCATTAAAAGGATAGTTGGAAGTTTCCTGCCTTGATAGACTTGATCTGATATCACTGAAAAGAAGAGCTTGTTGAAATTCTCAATGGAAAAACAACAAAAAGATCATTTTTCCTAGGCTATTTCTTAAATTCCTTAAGCAAACCTAACAAATGTTTATTCTAAATATATGTTACAATTTTAGGCACATCAATAAAAAGCTATTACTTGTATAGCTTGAGTAAGGGGTATTTTTTATTTATTAAAACTTTGTAATCAAAGCAACTGTATAGTTTCTCTTTAATAATTAAGTAGATCTGATTAATTATTCAGCACCCAATCTACCTTGGATTTATAAACGCTGGTTTTGTATGTCAGTTATTCTTTTTTCAGAACTGCAAACTATTTTGTTCATTTGACAATTCTTTGGACAAGTTTAAATTCTTGTTAAAATCATAATGTTAATTCCATAAAATGAAAGCACTCAACTTCGTGGTAAACATAGTAGAACAAAATGATAGTTTAGCAAATTCAGAATTAATACAAACAACTAATTTTAGTAAATTCAACTTCTGATTTTATGAACTTTTTAGAAAAAATTACTAACAAAATTATCCAATTAGCTGACTTCTAGATTGCTCAGTTACTGATATGTGTTTATATATTAAAATTTATGAAGTTATTAGGCCCAAAGATTCATAAAAGTATGTTTATTCCTAAGCATTAAAGAATCAAATGTATATATTATAGAACAACAGTTCTCACCATTGACTGAATTTAAGAAATGTTTATTGATAGAATCACAAATAGACACATTCAAAAACACATAACATATGTTTAGGGAATTCAATTAACTGGAATATGTCAATATCAGATTTTAACACAGATTGAAAGAAAAATCCTTATATTGTGATGGGTTAATAGCATAGTGAAAATCTGTTGTAGAATAAATCTATTTTTAAAAGCCATTTGTGTTCAGTATTTAATCAGATGTTGGTATCTGGGAGTGTGCAATCTCTTATTCAAAGGGTGGTAAAACCAATATATCATTAAGAAAACTAAAATTTTAATGTATACAATATTAAGGGAAAGTTTTTAAATGTTGCTTTAATTGACTTTTTAATTTTTACCAGTTATTTAGTTATTTTGTTTAAAAAATAAAACTAAATCAGAGGAAAACTAGTCTGAGGTAAAAAATTGTAGACCTTTTCAGAAATCTATTTTTTAATTATTAACTCAAACAGTAGTCAACTTAGTTTATTGACGATAGTGCAGAGCAGCCTTATAAAGAAATAACAATATTTAGAAATACTTTCCTCATTTTTATTTTGAATGGATGCTCCTAAATATTAAATATATTTTCAATATTGCTTTCATAAAATAAACTTGCAAAACCTACTAGTTATAGCATCTGAAAAGATAAATCCCATATATTCCTGAGTCATTATAAATTATAACTTAATGGGAATGGAATTTATAAAGAAACACTTTATTTTTTACTTTAAAATTTAAAAAAAAAAATTGTGTGTTTGAACATCATTTAGAGTTGGCAGGAATCAGATGGAACGCTTGTATTGCCTAGGGAAGCATTCTACATTAACTGTACAGGGAATCATATGGCAGATATCAATGACACAAATGCAGCTATAGCACATACCTTAGAAAACCTGGTGGAAAGCATGTAAGAGTGCCTGTGATATACGGGTTTCTTTAAATCTATCCTTATCTTATCTTTAAAAAAACCCCTAAATTGTTTGCAAACATTGCTATTTAACCATTATTGGTAAATAAAATCATTGCAACTTCACAATTCATAGCCACAAACAAATTGCTGAGAAACAAAATGAGCCTGTATTATTGAAGAAAAAAATATAGTCTCAGCAGTTTTATTTTAGTTCCAACTGCAAAGGTTTAATTTCCTTTTCACACTCACTCCTGTTGGTCTGTGGAGACAGTGTAGTGGCTGAAATTGCAGCTCTGGGGTCAGACTGTCATGGTGGAATGCTTGCATAGAGAACGTGTCTCAGATTACCTGCAACTGCAGTGTTTCAAAACCTGGCCAGATCGAAAGAATCACTGGGGCTGCTTGTCACATAGAGGCTCCTGAACCAAGACAAATCTACTGAGTTGCAACTCCGGTGCAGAGACCCAGTGATGTGTAGTTTCCCCACACAGCCCAGGTAATCAGGCCATTTGGGGAAACCTGGTGTTAATGCAGTCTCACTTGGCAGGGCAGCTAACCTGAATTGAAGCCTTCAGTCACCCTACTAATTCCATTCTTTCACACTTTCATTGAATACATAGTACGTAGCTTATTCTCTAGTGGGCACTGGAGAGGTGTGGGTAAACACAGGAGTCCTGCCTAGTTAACAATCTTGTTTGGAGTGCTCTGTGTTGCAATAGAGTTGCAACATCCTTTAAAGCTGTTCCCTTTGATTGTAGGGTAGGGGCACTTTCTTAGTTCCAGCTGCTGTAACAGAATACAGTAGACTGGGTGGTTTATAAACAACAGAAATTTATCAGGGTACCGGCAGATTCCATGTCTGGTGAGAGCCCACTTCCTGGTTCACAGATGGCTGTGTCCCCGTGTGGCAAAACTAGCAAGGGAATACTCTGGGATCTCTTTTGTAAGGTCATTAATCCCATTCATGAGGGCTCTGCCCTCACGACCTAATCACTTCCCAAAGGCCTCCACTTCCAAATACCATTACGTTGGAAATTAAGTTTCCACATAAGAAGTTTTGGGGGGACACAGACATTTAGTCTATAGCATGCACCTTGAAATACCACACTAAAGCCGGGAACTCAAGAGGAATCAGTCTTGGAATAGAATCAGAATACATGGTATTGTATTTTATCTGCCTGTGTTCTTCATGAAATTTTTTGTTTGTTTGTTTGTTTTTATGACATTATGGCATTACTCGTGACACAGTTTCACTTCATTAGTAGCTCTCCCTGCAACTTTGCTTTTATCATTTCATTTTATTCTACTGTTCATCTCTTTTTATAATACACTCAGCGGTTTGATTGCTGAATTATTGTGTGGTCTTTTACAACCTAATTTAAAATAACTGCAAGAGTGGGGTTACGGGAGATAATTTTGTTGATGAATTTTATAATTAATTATATATCGACACAGTCCAGTATCATATTTAGGCTAATTATAAAATGTAATTACTAGGATATCCAAGGTGGTTGGCTGCTGTCTAAAGCTATCATTTTGAAATACAATTTTCACTTGCTGATTACTATAACCTCCTTTAATTTGTGGATAAATCATTCTCTGTTCTTTCTGTGGAGAAATTGATTTGGAAGCATTCATTATAGAAGTAAGATAATGAAATATCCCACAGTAAAGTCTTTGAAGATAAGATGATTAAAACAACAGTTGATAGACGGTTCAGAAGGTGGTCACACACTTACTTATTTTCATCAGTTAATGCAACTTATGATTTTCCCACTGCTTAACAAGGCTTGAGAATTTTAAGGATGGTTTAATCATGAAATGTTTTATTTTCTTTTTAATTTGAACATTCTGGAAGCCTGACAATTCTCAGGTTTCCCTTTGGGAATTTAACCTCTCTTTGTAGTAACTTGTCTATAATCTACTAGCTTTCATTCTGAAAAAAAAGAAAAGAAAAGAAAAAAGTGAAATCATAAAAATACAGTAAGTGTTGAGTCAAATATCTAATGTCATTGTCTTTTATAAATAATGAATTCATGACTGGAAATTGTTCTCTTAGTGACATTTTTTTCCTACCGTTAGCAGGTTATGAATGACTGAATAAAATCAATAAGAATTTACTATACATGTAACTTCTTTTTGATTTCTGCACTTTTTGTGTTTGATCCTAGGAAATACATGTCTATAAAACGTGTGTGTCGTGCGTAGTGCCCACCTTCCGCCAGGCGTTATCCTTGGGAAGCTAACTTGGGTTTAGTAGGCTGAGCATTCCCATTTAGATTCTTAGGTTAGTTTTGCTGCATTAAGCTCATTTACTGTCTGGAGCAGGTGGATGAACAGTGTCAATGTGAATACTAAGCCTTTTCATCCTTTACTTCTGCTTTTGTTACAGAAACCCTTGAAACCCTCATCAGACAAGCAGAAAATTACACCAGTATACTGTTCTGCAACACCTACAGGAACATGGCCTTAGAGGCTGCTGCTTCCGTCCAGGAGTTCTTCACTGACGTAGGGCTCTATTTATTTGGTGCGGATGTTAATCCTGAAGAATTCGTAAACAGATTCTTTGACAGTCTTTTCCCTTTAGTCTACAATCATATCATTAACCCTGGTGACAGTTCCCTGGAATACTCAGAATGCATCCGGATGGCCCGCCGGGACATTAGTCCATTTGGTAATATTCCCAAAAGAGTACTGGGGCAGATGGGGCGATCGCTGCTGCCCAGTCGCACATTTCTGCAGGCGCTGAATCTGGGCATTGAAGTCATCAATACCACAGACCATCTGCACTTCTCCAAAGAGTGCAGCAGAGCCCTCCTGAGGATGCAGTACTGCCCGCACTGCCAAGGCCTGACTCTCAGTAAGCCTTGCATGGGATACTGCCTCAACGTCGTGCGAGGCTGCTTGGCACACATGGCAGAGCTTAACCCACACTGGCATATGTACATCCTGTCATTGGAAGAGCTGTCGGATGCCATGCATGGGACATACGACATTGAGCACGTGCTGCTGAACTTCCACTTGCTCGTTAATGATGCTGTGGTGCAGGCTCACCTTGATGGACAGAAATTATTGGAACAGGTAAGCAGCCACTCAGTGTTTACTGATTTTTTAGAACTCAGCAATTAGCTATATATTACATAAAGTGTGTGGATTATAAGCACATCATCATGTACTTTAAATTATGGCAGCTTAACAAGCTAATACTTTAGGAAATAGTAGGAGAATGCATGAGTTACATTCAATTCTAAATATAGTTTACATCTTACATCAAAATTTTGGTTAGCTAAAATACCAGTTTCTCCTCTAAGTAGAAGTCTTCTTATAGGATTAGTTCAGTGAGGTAGAGAGGGCTCAGTTTTAAAATCAGGACCAGTATAGATTTGATTCTGCTGTCTGCCAGTAATTCTCAAGTCCCTTAGCTTCTCTGAGCCTCAGTTTCCTCACTGATAAGAAGAAAATAGTAACACATAACTTTTGGAGTATTCTTTTTTGGGAAGATAGGCAATCATGTAGGCATACTACCTAGTATGGTGCCTGGTACTCCAAAAATGGGTAGTTATTGTTGGCATTTCAAAAGTATTCAGCTTCAAAATAGAAAATGCCAGTTATATAGTCATTAAATGAAAATTTGATATCTTAGGTTTCAAAAGTGTTTCTTCAGAGACTCTCCAGAATCTGGCACAATCGTGGTGTGATGATTTTTTTTTTTTTTTTTTTTTTTGCGGTACGCGGGCCTCTCACTGTTGTGGCCTCTCCCGTTGCGGAGCACAGGCTCTGGACGCGCAGGCCCAGCGGCCATGGCTCACGGGCCCAGCTGCTCCGCGGCATGTGGGATCTTCCCGGACCGGGGCACGAACCCGTTTCCCCTGCATTGGCAGGCGGACTCTCAACCAGTGCGTCACCAGGGATACCCCAGGAGGGCCTTTTTGTATCCTTAAAATTTATCACATAGAAAAATATCTACTTTTTCTATTCCAAAGGCTAAACTAACACAGGTTTGTAGGTAGATAGACACGTTTCAACTCCTGAGTTTCGTACTCATTAGTCATGTGGTCTGAACAAGCTACTAAAACCCTCTGAGTCTGTTTTGTCCTGTGTGAAGAAGGAAGTGATGGTTTAAGTGACACAAGGTAAGGCTCTGACATTCGTAGGTACTTGGTACCTGAGAAGCTTGCTTTATTCTTTCCATATTCTGGGACCAGCCCTGAGCAAACCTCGGTGAAGCAGGTTACTTTAGTATTATAAATGATTAGAATCATCATCATACTTGCGTTCTATAAATAAATTTTTAACAACATTTTTGTCATATGAAACTCCTTAGTGGATTTTCAAAGAACATTCTTTTCTTTAAGCAAATAATTCTATTTCATTTAATAAGTGGTCCTTAACTATCTTGAAAAACATCAATTATTACTAATAAATTGTAGATTCTTTTCCAAATAAAACAACTGAGACTTTCTTTTTAACTTATGGTGACAGAGGAGAAACTGACTTTAAATTCCTTGAAAATTGGCTCATTATATTTATTTCTGCCAACTTCAAAGTGATTTATAAGCTGTTTATCAAGCTTTGATAACCAGTTCACACATCAATGAATTTAATAAATTCAAAATAAATTACTGGTGAGCCGGCAAATAATGACTTTCTCACATTCCCAAAGCAATCTCTGAGATCTAGTACTTTCAAGTCTAGTCCTCAGTAATTACGTACAGCCACTTTAAGAAATCCATAGGGGTACCTGATGTATCATACTTCCGTTGGATGCATTTCAACTGGGAAAAAAATTCTCAGTTTCCTGAGAAAATTATAAATATCTTCTATTTGGTAAACCATTAAAGAAACAAAATCTAATTTATAAGAGAGCATTTAAATTTTATAATCGTTCTGGTGATTAAGACAAAAATCTAATAAAGCATTAACAGAGGCCATCAAAGTATGGAGATTAAAAGCACAGACTCTACTCTCAGACTGGATTTCCCATCTGTCTCTACCACTTACTAGCTGTGAGTTTGGGAGCTTGATTATCTAATCTTTCTTGAGTTTCCTCTTCACTGAAATGGGGTAATAACAAACAGTACCTACATCATAGAGTTCTTGTGAGAATAAAATGAGATTCGGTTAGTGTCTTACACGTGGTAACTGTTTAAAGCCTACTAATTATTAGTACATATGTTCTTTATAAATACTTCATTGATCTCTCTGGTGTTTTAAATGCTTTCAATGTGAATACCTCTTTCTTCCTGTGGTATAGAATTCAAAAAATATTTTAAACGGGCATTTAACGTAAGCGGACAATTGTAAAGATGTTCCTTGAAGGAGAAGAAAAAACTGGAATTTTTATTTATTTAAATATATATATGTATTTTATTTTTGGCTGTGTTGGATCCTCAGTGCTGCGCGTGGGCTTTCTTTTAGTTGTGGCGAGCGAGGGCTACTCTTCATTGTGGTGCGTGGGCTTCTCATCGCGGTGGCTTCTCTTGTTGCGGAGCACGGGCTCTAGGCACGCGGACTTCAGTAGTTGTGGCTCGCGGGCTCTAGAGTGCAGGCTCAGTAGTTGTGGTGCACGGGCTTACTTGCTCCGCGGCATGTGGGATCTTCCCAGACCAGGGCTCGAACCTGTGACACCTGCATTGGCAGGCGGATTCTTAACCATTGCACCACCAGGGAAACCCCAAAACTGGAATTTTTATAAAATATTATTTAGAAGTCTACAATGTGTTTTAATATTAATGGATATTAATTGCTAATTATTTGATAACAGTAATTCCTTTGTGAGGAAATGATTGAATGATTGATTTTTTAGTAGGAAATGATTTAAAGGATTGAATGATTTCTTGGTAGGAAATTATTCATTTTGTAAATAAAAACTTGATATTTTAAAAAATTATATCTGCTATTAATTAAATTTAGAAAATTAGTTATTAATATAATTGAATGCTTTAACTTATTAAAGAAACAACAATGCAGGATCTGGGTTAATTCCAATGTTTCAACCTCTTCTAAATGGAACATATGTTACCAAGAAACTCAACTGAATGTTGATTCTGTACAATTTTAGAAATAAAAAGGTTTTTTCAGCTTTATTGAGATCTAGTTGACAAAATAAAATTCTTCTTTAAATATTTGGAAGAATTCAGTAGTGAAACCATCTAGTCCTGGGCTTTACTTTGTCGAGAGGTTTTAAAAAAATTTGTTTTTTAAATTACTGGTTAAATCTCCTTATTCATTATTGGTGCTGTTCAGATTTTCTATTTTTTAATGTCTCAGTCTTGGCAGGATATATGTTTCTAGGAATTTATCCATTTCTTCCAGGCTATCCAATTTCTTGGCTTATTATTATTCATTGTAGTCTCTTATGATCCTTTGTATTTCTGTAGTGTCAGTTGTAATATCTCCTCTTTCGTTTATAATTTAATTTACTTGAGTCTTCTCTCATTTTTTTCTTACTCTAGCTAAAGATTAGTCCTTTTTCTACCTTTTCAAAAACGAGCTCTCAGTTTTGTTGATATTTTCTATTGTTTTTTTCTGGTCTCTGTTTCATTTATTTCTGCTCTGATCTTTGTTATTTCCTTCCTTCTGGTAATGTTGGGCTTAATTTGTTCTTCTTTTTCTAGTTCCTTGAGGTATAAAGTTAGGTTGTTTATCTCAGATCTTTCTTTTTCCTTAATGTAGGTGTTTATCAGTATAAACTTTCCTGCTTTTGCTGCATCTCCTAAGTTTTGGTATGCTGTGTTTCCACAGCTGGGAGTTGAGGGTTCCCTCTAGCCTGTGCTACCTGTTTCCATGTGGGTATTTTCTCATTTGCTTGATGTGCAGGGGTTTCTCAGCTAGTTTCTAAAATGGCTCTGTGTATACAATAGCTGTACATTCTGTGTATCTTCGGGAATAGGGAACTTCCTAGGGAAACGAGGAGCCTCCTATAATGGGAATTGCTGCTACAGAAAGTTTCTGTTTTTAAGTCTGTACTGGGTTCCAGAGCATAATTTCCAACAATAAAAGTCCCACTCTGTATTTTTAAATAAAAAATCAGTTTTCCACATCTCTTACCTTTGCACTATTAGTACAGTTTCAGCTGATTGCATCCAAATTACTTTAGGATAGCTATGTACTTCAGTTTCCATACCTTTCAAGATTGAGTTTAAGGTGAACTGTACACACTAATGCCCTCTAATTAAACTACATTGTTGTGATAACTAATATTTGATCACTGCTTCTCTACACATCTACATTTATCTGAAACTGTGAAATGAAAGCCTAATAAATTAATTATGTGTTTTTAGGTATCTCAATGATATCTTTATATATAAATTGAAAGGAAAATTAAAATGATAGCCTGGGTTATTTATGGTAAAGCACTAATTTTATTTTATTTCTTCCATAGTGTGGTATATATTTTCCTAAAAATCACTCTGTATTCAATTTTACATAATACGGACTATGGGACAAATAAGGTTAAGGCAACACATTACTCTCTCAAGTCTGTGTCCTTGAAATTGCCCCTAGTGTGGGAATGGTGGGTGGTATATACATTCCAAAGATGGGGGGTGGGGGCAGGTAAGGAGCCTCTGATCTCCTGGGTCCCGCTCACGTGTCAAGTGGCAGTCACATCCTCTCGATGACCTCTTCCAACAATATACAAAAAGCCAACAATGCATTATTTCTGAAGCAAAGTTTATTTTTTTAGGAGCTTTCATTCACGTATATTTTTGTACTTGGCTAACAGAGAATAAAGGGCTGTGACCAAAGGTTATAAATCAGCTACCTGTGGACAAAGTTTATGAGTAGGTGGGCAAGACTTCATTGAAAATACCTTCATCATGTCATTTGATATATCTTGATGACATTTTCATCAAAATACCATTTTTACCTTTGCCTAATTTTTGTTTAACTGATGGGTTGGGCTAATGTCGAACTTGTAATTATTATATTGTTCAGATGAGCTGGTCCTTTTGAGGAATAAGACTGGAGCTTGACAAGAGAAAAGGGAAAGGCATAAGAATTAAATTAGCAACAATTGAAGGGGGAAGACATAAGCTTCTAGAGCAAAAGTAAAAGCTCAGACAGAATCCAATGAAAAT